TACCTGTATTTAGTGACGATTTCTCGTGCATGTTCAAGCTGGCTATTTGTGGCAAAAATATTTAAAGGATTTGTAGTACCAAAGAAATGCCGTGCCCGATTCCAATACACACTAAAAAATAAATATTATACTAAATGCAAAGTTCAAAATTCTTATTGAATTTCAACCTCTGATTCATATCGTCATTGAATACATGCAAATACACACACATAACACAAATATGTTCGTAAATAGGTACATAAAATTGTAAAATTACTCTATTATTACATATTACATTACATATTATAAATGTATACCTTTGGTCATATCTTGGTTTATCAATATTAATATTCCTCGGCAAACATGGCCCTTTCAATTCTTTTACCTCTAAGTTATTGTTACTTAATGCAGCTGCTACATTTGATTCAGTATTTGGCGACATTTTATTCTAGATTTTATTGGATGAAAAATAATCTGCAAAAATAAATGTTTAAGTTTAAATATGAGTTGATAACTTTCCAAGGAGATAAGCATGTTTGTAGTTAAGAGAAATATGATATGTATGTGATAAGTTTCTGAGTTATATGCACTAGAAGATAATGGAATACTAATACAATATAAATGAATTATAAAAATAGATTTATGTATAATGCACATGCAGTTATAAGTGACTCTTTACATAACATAGCATGCTCATCAACATACATTTTTGCATACCTAATAAAAAATCCAATAAGTACTATAAATGTTAAAAAAAATAAAACTTTGAATTAAAAGATATTTCTTCCTCAAAACTTGGTTTTGTTATGTGTTCAAATTGTTATAACTGGTTCATTATTTTTTCATGGATATGTATTCACTAAGCACAGATTTATGCTATCAATATATCGTAACAATCTTAGAACATTGTCACGCACATTAAATTTCAAATAAATGACCTGAATTTGACATTGAGTAAATTGAAAGTAATTTTTTGGGTTATGACTAGTGTCAAGATTTTCGTGACGCGACCTTTGAATCCCCACTTGCATTTGATGCTGTCATCGTTCTGAAATGAAGTTAGATTTTCATTACTGCTAAAATTTTGATATAAACTTTCAAAATTTGGAAACAAATGATAATTAATACACAATTGATTTAGTTTGGCGCAATTCAAAAATGATTGGTTGCATATTCATAATGTTTCATGCTTCCGCTTCCTGCTGAAAAAACGTGATGCATTTCCGGTATTGGTCAAATTTGAAAATTTGACCCCAATGAATAGGTCAAATCTATTTATATTTATAGAAAATTAGTGAATTCTCAAAATGTAACTAATTTATTGTTAACTTCTGAAAAGGGAAGTTTATGTCTTTGCCGGAAAATCTGATTTGCTGATATTGTTTTTTCGACATTTCAAATCACTCTCAAATTTTGAATACTAATACACCTAAGTCTGTTTTACACGGTCTTTTTGTACACGGTTTTGATATAACACGGTTTGAAAATTGAATATTTTTAATTTTTTTACACGATTTTATTCCATTTAGCACGATTTGAAATTTTATGTACTTAATTTTTTTTTGTCAAATTTAATTTTTGCGAAGTATGTTCATGTCACAAAAAAGTATTTATGAAAGAAAAAAGTCTGAAACCATCGATAGTATCGATAGTTTGCGAACACTAGCTTAAAGATTTGAGTGAATTCCCCATTAGCGCGTACGAACAATTTTTACTGGTCAAAGCAAATGTGAATAGCACTAATTTAGGGGATACCCTAAAAATTCTTGTTTTTTACTAATTTTAATAGGTTTTAGAGATTAGGAACAAATCACCCATTTTTGTATAAGATCAATGTCTTTTTTACACGGCTTCTTCTGGAACCAATCTACCGTGTAAATACAGACTTAGGTGTATTGCAAAAAGTATGCGATTGAGCCAGAATTTGGCTTTTCGTCGTTATTTTATCGAAAAAGGCTGCACGGATTTTGAAAAATCGATGTATCCCGACTCGGGTAGTTTTGCTGAACTATCGGTCAAACCGTTTCTTTGGAATTAGCAGAAAATTAAAAAAAAAATCGCCGACGTTTTTGCAAAAAAACTTTGTACCAATTTGAAAAATTTAAAAGCCTTTCAAAATCATATATCAAATGTCATATCATATAAGAATCATGTTGATTCTTTATGACAAAGATCGGCCGGGCCGTTTCTTTATAATTAATTAAATGTTAAACTAGTGGTGAATAGCATCGTGCCTTGAGGCAAATTGCTAGAACTTCCCGTACCGTAATTCTTGATAGGGAATCCAAAAACACAACTGAGTTACCGCTTGTGGCACTTTTTACCCAGTATCTTCAGAACGGCTAGAATTGTTTTCGCCAAAAACTAATCAGCACGTCTCATTATCAAGATACTTACATATTCAAATCAGTTGATCGGTGTTCCCGAAATCGTCGACGTAAACTTGTATCCGCTCACATACACATACACACACGCATACATACACATACACACATACATTCATTTTTTCTAAGGTATGCCAGAATATTCAGAAACCTTTGAAACGTAAAGATATATAAAAATTTTCATTTTCGATTTTTTACGATTACTATAACTTACCCTACGGGAAGTTAAAAAAAAAATGGTGATTTTAATTTAACTTATTAGTATATGACTTGGCATAACTTTAAAAATTCACCAATAATTAGAATTTCGCCGTATTTAAGGAATTCTAATCAGAATCTATGCCAAACAATGTGCCGTGTTTCGTAGGAAGCTCGGGTAGCTGACATTCACTCACATTAATTTTAAATTGTAATAAATTTCCAAAATCTAATTACAATTGATTTAATCAATGAATTCTATTTATGTAACTCATCAATGTCGGTGAAAAGACTGATTATTGAAATGCATTAAAAATGTGTTAAATATAAAATTGTGTAATCTTTTATGATTTATGTTTAAAATTTTCCTCAAATAATCAGACCATAAGGTTCTTAAAAAAATTAATGCAATTACACTACAAAAATATTAGAAATTCACTGCAATAGATAAAATAAAACAATTTTTTTTTTGTATTTTCTTACATTTCATATATATAGACTTTGAAAAGACATAACATACATAAGGTAACAAACAAATGAATAGATAATGTAAATAAGTGGGTTATAAAAAGACTTTATATTCTAATTTTTTTTTTACTTTTAATTGTCAGTCGGTCATTGCCTATTCATTTTAATAAAAACATTTACCCATATAATAATTAACAGCATATCTTAAGTATATGGTTAACATATGTTATTGATGGTGTGTGCTGGAGTTAAATATATATCATAGTGTTCAATCACAACTCGGTTCGATTTTATAAATATATTACCAAAAATTATATATATATATATATATATATATATATATATATATATATTAGGGTGGTCCTTAAAATGGTCATTTTCGAATTTTCTTGCTCCCAGGGCCTCAATTGGTTCCAAATTGATAAAAAACAATTCTCTGAAAGTTTTAGCTCTTAATATTAAGATTTAGATAGAGCGCAATTCAATCAAACTTCGTATGGAAAGAGCATGGAAAAAATTTTGAAAATTTAAAAAAAAATTCTTTAGGTATAACTTAGCGACAAATGAATGAGTTTTATTCATTCATTTGTGCGCTAAATTACATCTAAAAACATTTTTAAAATGTTTGAAAAATTTTCCATGCTATTTCATACAAAACTTTGATTGAATTGCGCTCTATCTAAACGTTAATATTAAGAGCTAAAACTTTCAGAGAATTGTTTTTTATCTATTTGGAACCATTTGAGACCCTGGGAGCAAGGTAATTCGAAAATGAACATTTTAAGGACCACCCTAATATATATATATATATATATATATATATATTAACACAAAAATACAAAATTGCACAAAATATCTATTAAAATTTATCAAATCGAATAAAATAACAATTTTAATGTGGTCAAGTTTAAAACACTCATCTAGTATCAGCAACAGCATTTTCCTCAACAGATGGCAAGATTATTTCAGCTGATTTGTTTCTATAACAATTGAAATATTAAAATAAACTTATAATTACTACATAATTATTACTGCCTACCGTTCAACTGGTATAGGAGCAGAATTCGATCTGCCAGCTTTCACAAATCTTTCAGTTTTTTCTGCACGAGTTAGCTCATGGTCTTTTGCATCACTACTGGTCGTACCCAAGCTAGAAGTGCAGTATGAAGGATTTGATTTACAAAATTCTTTTACACTAAGAGAAGAAGCATTTCTTAGGAATGGATTCTGAAACATATGCAAAATAAACAAACATTTAAAATTTTTTTTAAAATAAGATATTTCTGTGATGTAACAAAATATTACCTGGAATGAATGCTTTTTGAGCATTGTCTTAATTAAAATTAAGGTATCAAGTTTAGGAACACTTGTAACAACTTGTTGCAGTTCTTCATCAGTTACATAAACCAAACTGCAATTTTCATTTTCACTTGGTAATGGATCTTTTCCATCATTCGTGATCCAACTATGTTGTCTTATAGAAGACATAGGAAGACGGGACAATGGATTTTTGTTTAAAAGTGATATTAATAAATCCTTCAGTTGATCTGATATCTATACAAAATAATTCAAGGTTAAAATATTTCAGTATATTTTGTTGCTAGAATATTAATTATATTGAACTGAAATGTTTATATATAATGGTAAAGAAAAAATGCAAATAAGATAAACTTATATAATTGCAGTTATTTCACACAAATATATAAATAATTAGATACTCTTAGTGAACATGTGATGTGATAAATAATTACCTTTGGTGTTTCTGGTATGACTAGTGGATTGTTTTGTATGGACTCATATAAGGCAGGTAGAGAATTCTCTTTAAACGGAACATCACCGAAAACTAAGGCAAATAAGGTTACACCGAGGGACCAAATATCAGCAGCCTAAAAAATACAAGATCAATAATATAATTTAAGTTTCCTAAATAAAAGACACAAAAATTTGTGATACTTTACCTTGCCACTGAATCCTCTAGTATCTTTTTGAAGGCTCTCTGGTGATCTAAATGCAGGAGTACCTCTTGAAAATTCAAGTTTGTCATCATTGCATTCTGATATGTCATCACAAACTCCTAAATCTGCAATTATAATCCTTCCATTCTCTCCAAGTAAAAGGTTGGCTGGTTTCAGATCTCCATGAATTATACACTGATAATGTACTAAAAGAATATAATTTATAATTAAATTTTTAACACAAAGGCTTGAATTGCAATCAAAACTTTTTTAAAAAAAGTTAACTTATTAAAATTATACTCACAATATTCAACACCCAAAATTACGTCTCTGAAACACTCTCTAGCTCTTTCTTCACTAAGAGGAGTTTTTGTAGGGATATGTAAGATTTCACCATTTTTCACTAACTCAAAAACTAAATACAAACTATCCTCTAATGGGTCATCTAGAACCTAAATAATAATTTTTATGTAAAATTGTAATAAAATGAAATTCAATTAAATGTTCTCTAATTCTCGATTTTAATATTTCATCAAATGTTATAATAGAAAAACAATTTTATAACAAGAAAAATTTTCTAATAATTTGAATTACAATTTTTTACATTAAAAACTAATGTTTAACAAATTAATGAATCTTACCTCAATTAATTTAACTACATTTGGATGGTCTAATTTTTTTAGCACAGCTATTTCTCTGTATATCCTTTCAAGAGGGTTTTTATACTGTCTCTTTGCATTCAATCTACCTCCAAGACCAGCTTTCCGTACTAAACGACGTTTAGATAATATTTTCATTGCATAATGAGTGCTATCTTCTTCAGAATATGCGAGCTTTACCAAGCCATAAGAACCCTTAGAAATAAATAAAATGATTTCATATTGATTGCGGCAGAAATAAATATATTGATTTCTTCAACTTCAAGATCATTCAATAACAAATCAAAAAATGTTCATATAATTCTAAGTTTTTATTATAATTTGTATTGGAATTTAAAACCAACCCTTATTACTAGTGTTTCTATTCTTTTCCTATATTACATCTAATTTTTATTTTATTTTTTTATTCTAACCTGTCCAATCGATTCCATAAGCTTGTACTGATTCAATTGCAGAAAACTTCCTTGTCTTTCTATAGATACTCTTTTACTTTCTCTAAGAGGTACTCTCTTTCTATTTGTTCGAGGGGAGCTATAGGGGCTATATGGGACATCAGGATAAATTGGTCTTGTTGCTGAATTTAGCTTAGATAATGGCGATTCATAACTTGTTAAGAAACTTGGAGAAACCGTATTATCTAGTGAAAGAGTCTTATTTGCAATAAGTAAATTTGATGCTGAAATATGAAATATATGATAAATAAACAATTATAGGTTAAAATTTCAAAATATTAATCTATTTAGATAACTTAATAATTATCCTATTATTTATACTTACTTTTGCTTTTTTTAACATCAATTGACGGATTATGTTGAGATGCCAACTTCGATAGAGCATCCGTGTTTGGTGTATTTTTAGAATTTTCAGAACTTCTTATATCTAATTTATCATTCAGAGAGTCAGTATGTAAAGTTTTTAACTTTTCAACCACAGTGAATTGAGTATTACTCGTTTTATCTAAAACTTTGTTTCTACCATTATTTATATTAATTTCATTAATGGTCTCTAAATTTTTTGAGTTACATTCGAGATTCAAATTTTTTTCTTGATCTGCATTTTTGTTAGAGCATTTACTTATATTCAGGTAATTAGTTGGTGTAAAATCTTGATCCATACTCATATTTCGAACTAATTTACTTGCTGGTTTGTAAGTAGTCAATTTTGGTTCTATATTGTTTGTTGATTTTTCCATTATATTATCAGTTATTCTAGTTTTATCAAATATTTTATAATTCTAACTTATTTATATAACTTATTGGACTATTTGGTCAAATTTATAAAATTCTATATTATGGTTAAAATTTTGTCATTTAGTATCAAATCTGTTTTTCACTATGATAATGATATAATCAAAATTTAAATTTATTTAGTTTCTGCTAAAAACAAGTTGTGTAAATCATTCTTGATATTGTTTGTTTCAAATCTTGGTTCTCATTAATATTCATATTTATGTTTGCTTTAAATGTCAAGTTGCATAATATGACAAAAACTTGTTGATCATTTTCTGAAATATAATATGATATATTACAGTAAAATAATATATTTTGTAATATATTACAGTAAAATAATATATTTTTTGAATTTCAATTATTATTGATTAAAATTTATAGTGCGACATAGCGCACACACAAAGTTTTGAATTTCACGTTTAGTGAAAATGTATTTATTATAGAATATTATAAATAATCTACAAATAACTAACGCTGGTTGCTTAAATTATTAAGTGCAAATATACTATAGAATTTTAATTATATTCATACTCGATTCTTAATCATTTATTTACCTGTTGCAAAGTGATGTTTTTCACATTTTTTAACATTTATTCACTTTTTTATAAGAATTGTTTTTTAAGATGTAATTTTGTGCAATGACACTTTGCCTAACCTTACTTGTGATGTCATCATATAAAAAACAAGATGAAAATTTAAGACGGGAAAGAGATGTAGAGTTTCTAAACACCGGATAACAAAGTGCTGAGAAAGCTGGCTGAAGTTAGCTGTAACACATTACAGATTTGTCAAATCTTTTGCACTGTGCTTTCAACTTTTTTATGTTGGATTCGCTGTTACGATTACTCCATTACTATAATTTTTTTTTCGGCGTGCTTATTGTGTAACTCGGTCGTCTCGTATTTTATATTTTTTATTTGCGTTTTCTTTCATTACGTTTTTTTGCTACGTGTACTAATCATTTTGTGCTTTTGTTGATTGTGCGCTATTTTATTTCTTTACATTTTATATTTGTTATTTTATTGCGGGATTCTAGAGCTTCTATAGGGAATAAGGTTAGTTTCTTTTCAGCAAGAGACGCGAGTTTTTTCACCTCATTAGCTTTTAGTTTCATTCTATTTTCAGCCCCTATCACTTTTATTGATTAATTTACTTTATTCACTTAGATTCTTAACTTTAGTTTCATCACTTAGATTATTAGATTAAGTTTACTTTAATCGCTTACATTCTTAACTTTACTTAAATCGCTTACATTCTTAACTATACTATTATCGTAGTTTCTTAACTTTACTTTAATCACTTACATTCTTTACTTTACTTTAATCACTTTAGGTTAGCACTTAGATTATTTACTTTATGCTATCACTTAGGTTATTCACTTTACTTTATCATTTTAGGGTATATCACTTTAGTTATAAGCTTCCTTTTTTTCATTTTTTACTGATTACCACTTAGGTTAGGTTATTCTTTTAATTTCATTCATTGTTTAGGGTATATAGCTTTGCTTATTTACTATTTTAAGGTTTAGCACTTACGTTTTATTACTCTATTATGTTTATATAATCTACATTTTTATTTTATTTCTTATGGATATTACGACTACTAAAACCTGTTTGTACTGTTCTACAGTATGTAAAACAAACAGTACTTTATATCGCCATATTAGGGCCAAGCATGGGAAAGAACCCATGCATTTCGATCGAACATTTCAGTGCATTTATTGCAGTAAGGCTTTGCATTCGACATATGCTTTGAAAAGACATATTATACACTTTCATCCTACCATTCCTCTTCAACCATCTGCTCCCAATTCTGTTCTAGCCACTGACACTCATTCATCAAATTCTTCCTCACATATTCAAACAGTTCATTCCGATCATATCACCTACAACACCTACTTCAATAATTTCCGCATCAACCCTAGAACATCAGTCGCCCTTCATTCCTATGCTGCCTCAATTTCACCTACACCATCAACTTCTACCACCATCATCAACTCCATTGCCACACAATCCACTTCTTGCACCAGTGTTCAACAGCAGATAAAATATATTTCAGGTATGTGTACCAAACATGTTATTAAACAATGATGCAGCAAACAGTAATAATGTTATGTTTTAATAGGTACTCAAAGGAAATCTAGGATCTTGTGCCCCCTTGACAATTGTCAAAGGTTATTTTCCAGATACAATGGCTTACATCAACATATCGAAGTTGATCACACCATCCACATCCAGCATGAAGAAATCACATTTTCTTCTTTTAATGGTTTGTTCATTTTCGATTATAGACTTTGTCAATGCACTTTTCTATTATTTGGTATTTTTATATAGATTTTCAATCATGGAAAAATAAAATTGTCATGGAAAAATAAAATGTTCATATATTCATATTCACAAATTCTTCAAATTCAAATTATAATCATTATTTTTTTACAATGAGAAAATGAACATTCATATATTGGCATTACTATATTCAAAAGCAGTAAATTTAAACATAAACATATAAAACATGTTATTTTGCTAATATTAAATGTATAACTCTGTGACTAATTATAACTATATTATGATTTATTTGGAGTTGGATTTGACCTGTAATGTTATATAATTTATGTTGCTTTACTTTTTAACCAACTTGAGTGGTGTGTTTGTGTAATAACTCACTATTGTTGAAATGAGCATTTTGTGTATCTAATGATGCAACAAAGTTCTTCTCTCTCAATTTATGGTATTTGGTTCCATTTGTTTATATTATCATTTCAATTCTATCTTTCAAATTTCTAATGCGAATAACATTTATTAACAGCTATATTGCGGAGATAAGTTTTAAATTATAATCATACATATTTCTTTTCATATTATGGTAATAGGTTTTGAATTGTCAATATGATTTATTTATCGTTACTTTACGGTAATAGGTTTTAAATTGTAAATATGATATTAATTGTTACATTACGGTGATACGTTTTGATTTTTTATTTATTATTACATTATGGTAATAGGTTTTTAATTGTAAATATGACTTATTTATTATTACATTTTATAGTGATGAATATTTGATTTATTTATTATAACATTACTAATAATAAGTTTTGAATCATGAAGAATTGTGTTTGACTGGTATGTGGTTGTGTGTTATACTGGTATGTGGTACAATTTGTTTTCTAATTTTCTTTCACGCCATGCTTTACTCATTAATATTAACATTGTGTAAATAGATTTTAACTCGTAAACTATTTATTGTAAATAACTATATATTTAATTCACATTCAATAAAAAATATTACCACAATTATCTTTTTTTTTAAAAAAATAGCTTTGTTTCAGTAGCAAAATTATGTGATCTAAAAGTTTTCAGTTATTCAATGTTGCATCCTACAGTTTAAACTACTGTTAAAAACTGGAACAGTCCTGGATTTGAATAATGCACTTATTCTGATAATAAAGATTGTGTTCTAAAATTCAATCATTTGTAGTCAACAATATTTAAAGTTTTCAACAATTATATTGCACACTAGTATGGAACAGATATAAGAAATGGTAAAAAAATTTAATTTTGATATTGTATCATACACGTAGTCTTGCTATAATAAATACGAAAGATTGTTAATGTAGCAGTATTTGGCTTACATAATTATACATTTTTGTGATCAAGCAAATTTATGCACACAAAATAGTTCACGTTTACCAGTGTTCTTCAATTGAAATCTACCATACATAACAAAAATCCAATATTGCAACAAATTTCTGACTGAATGAAAAATTATTACTAATCACCAAAATAAGAAATTGAGGTTAAGTTTCGACAGTTGCGACAAATGTTTTGACATATATGAATGCTCTGCAGTTGGTATGCCTGCTCAGAAGAATTTCTGATTTTTTGAATGTTGGTACCGTGATTTTTTCGTTTCAGCACTTTGTTAATCCGGTGTTTAGAGCCGTGTAAAGAGATGACGATGTTGACGCCTGTTTCTCAAACTGCGATGATTTAAATTTAAGTCGCAATAGATTTAAAATAGATTCTGAAAATACTGTTAGCGATAAAATATGCATAATTTTTTATAATTTGGTAATACGACATTGAATAGATAAAGCCTAGACAATATAATAATAATAATGATATAATGATAATGAGATAAAGAACGTAATTAAAATAACAAGAGGGACAAGAACAACACATTATAGACAGATATTTTGTTGCAAATTATAAGTGTATAGAGATTATTAATAATATTAAGAAACTAAACAAGCTTAAAAAACATTTTCTTAATGAAAATATTCAATATATACATTTACTTCAAATTCGAATTTGATCGTTGTTTTATTTATGAGACAAGCTAAGCTATCAATATGAAAAACTGTCAGTCAATAATATAAATGTATTAATGTTAACTATTTTATAGATTAATAAATTGCCTTTTATTTGCCAGCAAGAATTTTATTTATCTGGACAAGCATTTTGCATCTCAAAATGCTCAATTTAGTTAACAAATAATCCGCTAAAGCGCTAGTGATGACAAAATACAATTCCCAACAATATGCAAGTGTCTCATCTACAAATGTCAATTGTGTATTGTTCTTTGATGTTGTTATCAAAGTTTGGCCTTTGTCTTTCAAAATATTAATTTTCCAAAAACATATACCAAACGTATTTGCACAAAATTTATTGTACGTTTTAGAATAGTATATAAAATTCATGTGTCCATAAAATATTATAAATAAGTAAATTTCCAAGTTTTCACACAAATTATTGAGTAAGCCGAAGCCTCTTTAATGCGCCATTGCGTTTTAATTATAGTGTTTTAAACAGCAAAAATCTTGATTCTACATCATTAAAATGAGCTTCAACGATAAACAGTCGAATTCATTCCCAAAAGATGAATGTGCAAATCGATTAGAAGGATTGCATGTACAGAGATCTGACATGAATAAATTGATAATGAATTATCTTGTCACAGAAGGCTTTAAAGAGGCCGCTGAAAAGTTCCAAATAGAGGCCGGTGTAGGTACTTCGATGGAGTTAAATTCTTTAGACGATAGAATATTAATAAGG